GAGAGGGTGGGGTCGGGGTGGGTGGGGTGCGCGCGCGGGGCTGGCGGTGTCCTCCTTTTACCTGCCGGCAGGCGAGGGCACCGGGGCTGCAACCTCATTGCGGGCTGGGGGGTCTCATGCACGCTCCCCCCCTCTTTGCTCCAGGTCACCTGCCTTCCTCAAGAGAAGACCCGCCTTGGCCTTCCTGGGGCACCCCCACCCCTCCTGGCGCGGCTGCCCTCGGATCCAGCCCCGCCGCCTGCTTGGGCATCTCTGCAGCCACCACACCTCCGCCATGCCCCCGGGCCTGGCATGGAGCCCGCCAGCAGCCTCCTGCGGGGCAAGGCCTTCTACTGCCGGGAGTGGGCGCTGGGCCGACTGGCACTCAGCTTGGAGGGGGGCGGGGGCGTCCTGATCACAGGGGGGCCGGGCAGCGGCAAGACGGCCCTCTGCACTGAAGCCCTCTGGCCCACCTCCGAAGTGGGCCGCCGGGTGGAGCTGGGCGAGGCCGCCCTGGCCTGGCACTTCTGCCAGTCCCACGATGCCACCACCTGCTCCCCGTGCGGCTTCCTGCTGCGGCTGGTGGCGCAGATCGAGCACTGCCCGCTGCTGCCCGGGTACCGCGAGCGCCTGAGTCGGTCGGATGCCCGGCGTGCCCTGGAGACGTCCGACTGCAAGAAGGACCCCGACGAAGCGTTCCGGAGGTAAGAAGGGGGGGCAGACCCTTCCCCCCCCCCCCCCCCGGTTAATTGGCACTCCGTTTCACTCCACTTCCCCCTTCGGAGGAAGTCCTTCTGATTGCTGCCACTCATTGGGACGGATCCTGCTCAGCCTGAGCCATTGGGGATCGGGCTCACATTTTTCCAACTGTGCGACCAACAACACGGTGCAAACGGCCTGCCCATTAAGAGATCAAGGGGTGGGCACAGCCAGGATCCGAGCCACCGGCCAGATCCCGGGTGGGAAACAACCCTCCAAGAGGGAGAAAAGCTGGAGCTGGGCAAGGAAAGTGGAGTTGGAGGGGGGTGCCTCTTACCCAAAGTCCACCCCCAGCCCCCCCCCAAGGATGCAGGATACTTCAAAGAAAGAGGTCCCTTGCCCAGTATGTCGTTGAACTATGGAACTCACTACCACAAAATGTAGCGCCACCCACCAATCAACGTGGCTTATAAACAAAGTTGGGAGGAGGAGGAAAGGGGGGGTCTTGACAGTTGTTTACCCCGGGGGGGTCCTTCTGAGGACCAGCTGGGTGGGTGGGTGACCTGGAGGGGGGAGCGTACTTTTGTGTGCTCACATTTTTGGTGCTTAATTTTGTTTGGGCATCCGGTTGGCCAGCCGGACCCAGCATCAGGCCCCCTCTCGTCGTTTGGGAGGGGGCTCCGAAGAGCAGCCCGGCAGGTTCCCTGCAGGGGGGGCTCAGTTTGTAAGCGATGTCCTGCCCCACCTTCTTCATCAAGCACCTGGGAGTGTCTCAGCTGGAGTTCCTGCCCTCCTGGAGGCCTGCAGCCAGAAAGAGAGGACTCTGGAGGAAAACGAGGTTGGGAGGGAGGAGGAAAAAAGCAGCCTCGATGAGCCCTGGATCCCTCCGTCTGGTGCTCTGCAGACAGACCGTCAGCCGGGTGGCCAGGCCACTGCGACTACCGGGGGGTGGGGTGGGGAGGCCATGGCTTTCTGGGATGGCAGTTGGTCCTTCTGGGGGGAGAGGGGGCTCTCTCTCTGGGAGTGCTGAGGAGGGGGCTCGAGAGGCCAATTCACCTTGTCTCCTTCTCTCTCCCCACCCCACCCCACCCCCCAGAGCGGTGCTGCTTCCTTTGCTGGACCTGCCCCCTCCTCCCAAGCCCCTGCTGATGGTGGTGGACGCGCTGGACGCGGGCAAGAGCAACCGTGGAGAGGATCGGGCCCCTCCGCCTGGGCCCAGCCAGACCATCGCCCAGCTCCTGGGGAGCCACCTACAGCTGTTGCCCCCCTGGCTGCTCCTGGTCTGCACCGCCCGCTCCCACAGCAAGGGGGTGCTGGGCCTCTTTCCTGGTGAGGAGGAGGAGGAGGAGGATGAAGAGGCCCCCTGGGGTGGAGGGTGGGTGGGGGGTCGCGAGCCTAGAGGCACCAAGGGTGGGGTTGCAAGGGGGTCTCTCTCCGTTCCTCAGCATGCTCTGGTGGGCGGGTCGGGGCCCCTTGGCCGAGCGAGCCTTCGGGTTGCTGGGTGGGCGAGGACCGCCCGCCTCGGGCCAGGGGCACGCCTGGGGATTGTGCAGCCCCGTTCCCAAAAGGCGGTTTCATGGGCCTTGGTGGCACGTCGGCTCACATCCTCAGAGCCAAACCCTAATTGCCAAACGCTCTACCTGGAGAGCCCAGGCTTCCTCTTGCTGGGAGGTCAGGGCA